TTTGTTCTATTGTAGTGGACACTACTCACAAGATTGTTTGTAAGTAGCATGTAGCGGGATGTGGGATCGAAGTCGCAACAGCTTTCAGACGAAATGAAGAGTTTCATTTCATATAAAGCATGGGTTTGTGATAGCATGTTGAGGCTAGACGAGAAGACGGTTCAGACTGCAGAACACCTAAAAATGCAAATGGAAGATTGAAGGCTAGGTATACATATTTTGTAAATCCTTAGTAACCTTACAATAAGCTTACTTTCCTCCTGTCTATTGTCATATTTTACACCTTAGTGTCAGAACACGGGATAAAATGTTCTACCCTACCCAATTCTTCGTTGGTTATAGTATATTCAGATACTAAGTGATTTGATCCTGATTTTAGCAAACATTTTAGCAATATCTCTTTGTAAATAATTACTATTATATGTGGAATGGGGGAATAAATAGCAAGCACTTACACTGTTGAAAAACTTTTAAATTCATGATGCAATAGTAATACACATGACGTTTATTGGAATCGATATCAAGCTTTGTATTACAACACTGGACTTAAAAGCTAAGGTTATATGTCCATTCGGTAACATTTTTTGAACTGAACCTCGGTTTTCATACTTTACAAATTTTAAAACTGAGATAGTTAAACTTCATTTAAAACATTACATTTATGGAGCCACTCACTGCATGGATTTATCTCAGTGCATTACAGTATATTTTCTTTCTCATCTTTAAAGCTGATAATTGCAAATATACCATAAGGTTAGGACTTTTGGATAATATTAAATGAAGTTTATTTATTTATTTGAACACATAAATATTGGTACAAGGGGGTACCAAATATATATGCGCCACACAAAACAATGAGAATGGAAAGAGAAAAAAGAAGGTAAGGCGCGTATAAGAAAAAAGAACAATAACGAACACAGATTAGTATAAGGTAGTGTAATAATAATAATAATGGAGGAAATGGAAAGGTACAACCAGAAGAATTCTTTTAGTTAAGGAAGATACAAACACTTTTTATAAAGTAAAAAAAGGTTACAGTAGGATCGCCACTAGCTTCTATTCTGAGTCATATCAGGGTACCTGACCTGTCGTATGTCCTGATGGTGTTCTCGTAACTTTCGGGTTACCTGATCTGCCAAGGGCGATGGGACAGTGCATGATGCTGTTGTTGTGTGCTAGGTTCAAAGAGAATTGTATGCTTTATGCATGCAAATACGCCCCGTTATTGTTTCTATTTTATAAGATATGGCTCAGAAGTATCAGATATTAAATGAAGTATCGGAACAATTAGTTCCTTTTTCAATTTTCAGATACCGTTTAGAGATGGAGTCAAAAAACAAATGGACTTGATTAATTGCCGTGATTAATTCACAGTTTTCATCTGTATACTTAATCTATTTGCATATATACCCAGGAATTTCTTGTTCATATGATAGTAAAAAGGACAATTTTGGAAAACGCAACTTCAGTAATCAGTTTATTTAGAATTTTAAAAAAACAAATAGAATACCTGTAAATTATAAACAATAGAATAATGCATAGTGCAATAATTAAAGTGTCAGTACTTGGAACATAATTGAAAGAATTCACATTCGAAAAATTCACCTCAAAATCTCTTTATCTTATTTTATTCGTCTGTGTCATTATAATCCAAGGATATTTGATTAGCATGATCGAAATTAGTTGGAGTTATTTCCTGGAGTTCAATATTATTGATATCCTCCTTCAAATATTGAACATTACTTTTGTATTCCTCAAGATTGTTTAGATTTTCTAATTTTATCATTCTATGTCTATTATTGGAACTAATGATGTTTTTCATAAATATTTGATTTTTGTTTTTATGCCATGGTTTTACAATTAATTTGTTTGATAGATTTTGCTTATTTGTTCTTTCATTCACCATAAAATTCACATTATCGTCTCTTATATGATTAGCATCAGATTTTTTACCTGTTCTTGAATTATTAATATTTTGATTATGATCAACCACATCATTTAGATTGTCTATTACATTTTCTGAATCATCTACTAGTCCTTCAATTGATTCACCTTCAGTTGATCTATTCAATTCTATATTGTATAGCTGTCTACAACTTATAGTATTCTTCCATGCAGCCTCTAATACAAAACGTATTATTTCATATTCAACCAAATCTTCAGGTATAATTCTTTCCTTACTTCCTTTGAACAGTTGATAATAACTTATTAATACAGTAAATACTGCTTTTGCATAGATGTCATAATTCATTGGCAAATTTTCTTTCTTAATCTCTTTTAGTTGTAATCTTACACTATTGAATTCCTTCAGAAGTAACTTGATCAATTTCACATAACGAATAAACCTTTTTAGTACAAATAATAAAACAACCACACTAACAAATATACTGAAACAGATTAGACTTGCAAATAATAACTCTATCATATGTTGTTCAATAATGTTGTGTAAATAACCAGCTGGATTCCGAAGAAATGATGCACGTAAGCTAATAGCATTACCAATTAGATCATAATCGTAATCTTTGCGAAAATCTGTTAAATTTTCATAACTAGGATCAATAATAATTAAATCTTCATCATTGAAAAATGGCATTTCTAACTTGATAATAAGATCACTATATAATATAGAAATATTTTATTCTAATGGTAATACAAGTTAGGTATATAGATTAACATTTCCTATTGTTCAAATAAATGTGATTGTCTCCAGATATATGAAATCGATATATCGATCTTTGATAATAAATTTAATATAGTTAAATAGTATCATCTATAAGTTAACCTACATAATGTAGTGTCTTCATAATACCCACTGAAATAGATGCAAAAAGTTAATACTTTCGGTTATTGATGTTGTAATCGGAAGTTGAAATCACAGATTATATAACCAAAAATAAGAGGCAGGTACTTTCATTAGATGAATTCAAATTATAATCACCTATATGCACTTGAAATGTAAATAATGAATTATAACGTGATTTAAGATTTTTTTTCTCCCGTATTAAATATACTTGAGCTATTTACAGATACTGTGGTTACGATCATTTGGTTGATAGGTTTGAATAATTATCCCGTGTCTTTATCGGCTGTAAGGCAAAAACGAAAACCAATTTTCCATGATACAGTTTACTAAATATGAAATGAAGGAAAACTATAGTTAAATAAATCGACTCACTTTATCCTTATTGAATAGGATCTTGTTGATCTTATGTGCATGATATGAGAAATTTCAAATTGATTGCTTTTTCATTTTTAAGTATTTGGAGTAAAGAAAAAACGATTTTCATTGTTGTTCAAGTATCTGATTGGAATCTTTAAACAATTCAGTCATCTTTATATGGAGATCAATAAAATATTTGTATCAATATTTAACCTATATGAACTGCAATCGAATAAAAATGGGACGAAACGACTCACCATATTACTTTGTGAAGCCCACTGAGCTTATTTAAGATCAATCCTAAATTATTACATACACTGAACGTTACATGGAACACTTATGAGTGTGTTCATAGGGTACCTATTCTAAATCTTTGGAATCTTACCCACATAACAGCTGTTAGATGGTCAGTATAAACTTTAGATCTAGAGCAATGATATAGCGAGTGGACTTTTCATAGGCCATTAATCTCATCAGTTTTCTTTTATAGATATCCTTTTTTAGGGAACAGTTCGTTTGACTTTCCAGGAATTGATATTCTACCTGAAAGCTATCTTGACTTGGAGTATCTGACTGACATCGTATTGTATGATGAACTAGTAGTAGGGGTCTCGTAACTTATTCAGTGTGCCAGTTTCTTTAGTATAGCGCATCATTTATATAAAATTTCAGTTTGTATCATATGTAACATAATTTCAATAAATTCAGTTTAACATTTTGAATGCATCAATTTAGTTTGATGTCATTTTGTATTAATTTAGAGTAATCCTTCATAAGTATCAATTTCGTTAACCCATAACAATACATATGAATCTGCAAATATACGGGTATCTTTGTTAGAGAAGTTTTTTTGTTTTGTTTTGAATGAACGAGTTAATTTGCACTTACTTAGTGTGCTTGTTTTTTCACTGTGTTGATTCGTATTCATTTTCAGCTCAAATTATATCAGTTTCTGTCTCCTAAATTATAAAAAGTTTTAAGTTCAATTAATAGTCATAGTCTCATGAACACTTTGAGTGTCACTGCAATACTGTAATATGCATATACAGCCATCAAATGCCCTAAAGTGAAATTGTCGATAACTTCTGAATAGGTGTAGTGATTCTGCTCTATACATTACTGAAAATATCTATAATTGTTGACAATTGTACATTTTCAGTTTGTTTGTGTGTACGAGGAATGATTGATAATATACTATGTATTCCGTTGGTTGTTGAACTTTCTTCGCACTTACATTTCAGAAATAATGACTAAAAGTTATGTTTTGTAAATCTTAAAATTTTAAGTAATTCAATATCAACCCTGCTTTCAGGAAGATCGGCAGTTTTAACAGATAGAATTGATTTGCATATTAATTCATTCTTGTATTGGTTGTTTGAATCTTCCCATTGATGTTTAGGCTGAAAGTGATCACTCTTTTATCAGCATACGTGCGGATTACCTTAAGTCACAAGCATTATAGGTGGAGGTGGATGGTAGCTAGCAATGGAATCCATGACGCGCGTTTCATCCTATTCGGGACATCCAGATAACGAGACCTAAATAGAACGAAACGCGCGCCCTGGATTCCATTGCTGACCACTACCATCTCCGCTTATGATATGCATATTGTGCTACTTCTTACTACAGAAGCATTTACAATCGGGACTGTGTATCTATAGTACGGCGAAATGTTAAAATATCAAAACCACATTTTGAATTCACGTAAACAGCATAAAGAGACAATACCTACGGACACATGGAGTTTATGTCACTGAAGTAATACGGTAGACAAAAACCTAAACAATATAAAAAGTGTCGGGTATGGTTTTTTTTTCTTCAGAACTCAAAAATAAGTCAATTAAGGTTTTAATAAATTTTCTTTAGTTATTCATTGATGCATGTTAAAACAAACGAAACCTACAATGAAAAACAAATGCATGTGCAGAAAAATGAAACATAAAGACAATTTATTATACGGACTGACTGTAACTCAGAAGTCATTAAAACAAGAGAATTAGGAAGCTGTTTTGTCCTAGCATGGGACTTCTCAATAGTGTGTACCTCTAACACCACTAGAGATCAGACTCAAGTATTTCAAGCTTTAGGTAGTTGTTACATAATTTCCGGAACAGAACAAAGTACCAAACTGAAGAAATCACTCATTAATACAATATTGTGTTATAAAAAAACAACAAATATGTGACAAGAAAAACAGTTTAGAGACGGGAGAATTAAAGCAAACATGAGAAACGATCGGGTAGCTGGAAATGAAGTTTTACATTGATAATGTGAAATTTTAAAGATATTAAACCTAAATATATGAGTCGTCGAAGAATTACATTAAAAGCAATTCAAATGTTATGTGTACAAAACAGTTCACAACCAAGAAATCGAGCAGCCATTTAAGCAATAGAACAACAGAGACAAGAAATAATTGACGGAAAAAAAGTATTCACTTCAATTGTACTATCGTAGGCATCCTTGTATTGTGGCCACTACTTGACGCGAAGCTACGATAAAAATGGATAAAAGTTAGAAGTTTGTAAGGGTACTAATTCTATGTCATAGTAAAAAATAACATTAGTTATTAAAAGAAAATCGAATCGAGATAATTAGAACATACAGGATGTGATTGTATTTGATGAATTACAGCAGCAGTACAATAGCTCAGCAATCAAATATTAGACCATCAATTCAAACTTAATGATTATTACAACACCATAATTGGTTGTTAGAATTCAGAGATAACGAGTTAACATAGACTGGTCAACAATACGCTTTTTATGGTCACGCTTAGAATAGCTTAAAATTATACAGACAGTAAGGTTGATGACTAATTACTCTTATAAGAAAACTGTTACCAAATTATATTAGTATACTTTAATAAGTATTCTACCAATTATCTAGCTAGTCAATCTACAGAGAATAAATTCGGGTCTTTGATAGCACCTTTTTGATAAGATGCTTCAGCGAATGGGTTCGCGTATGAAAACAAAAATTACCTTCTTTTTCAGAGAAATACAGATAATGGACAAATAGTGAGTTAAAGATACAGAAATTAAACATAGATACGAGATTATAAAGTTGAATAAGAACTTACAACCAGAGTTCCGATGTTCACAAAGCCATATTCCTTGCCAAGTACCCAAGGCTAACTGACCATTTGTAATAGGTACGGTAATACTGGGTCCACCAAGTAATGCTTGTTTTGCATGTGCAGGCTTAAACAGAATTTGAAATTTGAAAACATACATACATATTGTTAAGTTAAAAGTTAAATGTAGTAAGTGAATATTAATAATTAGAATGAAAATATGTTGAAAAAATATATTTGACATGGTGCAAGTAGGTAATACGTATACAAGGATCGTAAGAAAAGACAATATGTGAATTTTATCCAGGAAAACTAATTAGTAACAATGGGTTATGACGGTACAGTCGATTGACCAAACAATAAAGCAATTGTAGTGGTTCTACCGACAATTTATTCGTTGAGTCGGTACCCAAATTTCAGATCACAAAGAACAGAATCAGTGGTTGCCCGACTGAATGAATAAGATAATGTAATTACAACTGATATAAATTCACCCAAGACAGTATAACCATTTAGATACTTACTCATTAAGTAGCTAATGATTAATCAAGTTGATACAGTGGGCCAGTTGGACATTAGTCACATACTGAGCTCACACTATATGGAGTATTTTTCTAAGAAACGGGACTTTCCATTGATATGGCTTCAATTTCTATGGAATATATATATATATATATATATATATATATATATATATATATATATATGAATGCAGTTATTAAGAGACGTTCTCTTCACTTTCAGTCTTCTCATTCAATTAGCCGATTAGGGTCGCAAATAGGAAGCATGTTATTCAACGTCAGAGCTAAACACTGTACAACACAACAGAGAGTTACATAAGAATCAGTAGCTTATCCTTTCTTTATATCTCCCACCAACAACGGAAACTAACCTACAATATGGTAATGATACAAAAGTAGGTCAGTCGTACATTATAGTAACATGACTGACTCGTGGAAGGTGATTTACGAAAATCACGCCGATGAAATTAATTATTCAAATGAACTTTTCATCAACATTTTAAGCTGCAATCGATAAACATAATTCAACCATCTATTTAAGTTATGCAATTTTCAGCACATCAGTGTACTAATAGAATTAAATTGAGGTATTACGAACAATCATAAATGTTGTACATTATTGGAGTGAATATGAACTTACCATGTCATCAGCACCTTCACAATTATGTTTGTATTTAAGTGACTACGATAAATATAAAAAAATTATGATTTAATAACAACACATAGATATGTTAACATGAATAAATTTAATGCACAATTGTTCACTGAGGAAGAGGTTTTTGCAAATATTTACTTTGGATTATATATGATTAATCTCCGTTGGAATCTGTACACCCTGGGTGGACCCCTAAATATCGCTTTGAGTTAACGAGTTTACTATATTTTAAGATTGTGGCTATCAGCAGAATTTAGAAAACCCGTTTTGTTCTACTTGAGAATAGTCATACTGGGACAACACGTGCATCCCGGAATTCTACCGTTAACCACGACTTAAAAGTCTAATTTGCAATACGTTACATTAAATATAACACAGTTGGCCAGTGCTCTCTGAATTTTAAGTAATTTTCTAGTTGGAGTCAGTTCATGGTGGGAACTATCCCAAAAAGATTACACCACCTTATCTGAATATTCAAAAATTTAAGTAACCGATTACTCTGCCTTTGTAAAGCGCTTAATTCTATCACTCATCAAAATGCCACATACATTAGTGGAATTATTGACTGAAATTTCAAAAAGTTTTTAATGAACTTATTTGTTTATAGCTTCATGAACTCTAGGAATCTGGATCCTCCTGCCGTGAAATAAATATTTATATGGAGACAAAGTGTAATTTATTCGATGTCAAGACCAAGTTGAAGGCTAACAAGCTAAATATGATATATTTATATAGATCCTAGTTGCAGTAGATTCATTGCATACACCACCAAAAGTCCAGAGCTGTATATATTTAACTAAATGGGTCGTTTGCAACGCATTGGAAACAATAATAAGACATTTATTATATGAAATGCCGGTGGTCCGTAAAGAAAATGGAACAAATATTTTTAAACGCAAGTTGAAAGGGAAAACAATATTTCCAAGGAAAATGGACTTTTAAGCAGTAATGTTCCCACACGATAGGTGAGATGAGCACATGATAATCAACAATGAGAATGAAACATACCTCAGGTACAAGATGATTTAGAACCATTTCCATATCTGTTCTGAAAAATCAATAGCGAAATAAAGTGAATTTATATAATCCCTTATCCCAAATTCATAGAAATGAGGATAAGAGTTTTTAAACAAAAAAACTTTTAATATTAAAATGTGAACAAGATGTTTTCAACACGGTGGTTGATTCGTTTAAATGTCAAACAACTAAATCAAGGATGAGAATTCCACAATATCTACAACAGTTTGGGAGTCCTGATAGCAGTACTAATAGTAATATTAATGACTATATGACTGTTATAAATGCTCAAGTGCTCGAACATATGCAAGACTAACAGAATGGATGACTGACATTTTTTTATTAAGTCAATAAAGAAATCGACACATTTGTTTATCAATGTATCAGACAGAAAAACCAGCCACTAGCATTTTTTTTTACAGAAAAAAGCCACGTTTCTTAGGTTTCATCTTTAAAATAAACATTTAAGTCTGAATATAATGCCAACAGAAATCGTCTAGTATAATCCAGCTTTTTATATTCTACGCAATTAAAGACATCAGGAACCTTAGTTGAAACAAAGAATTCACTACACCTAACAAAGTACCTAACCTACACAAAATATACTTTATCGTAAACTTACATTCATCCATTTATCTTAGTTCTGTTAATTATCCGTTTTTGAGAGATGAACCATTTATCCCCATATCTTGGAGAAAAATTCCTAAATGCTGATTTAAGAGAAATTTCTTAGATCCCTGTTTATTACAGTTAGTCCCATTTTTGATTTGTTAATATTCAGAAATCAAAGTTTGAGAATGCCCCCAAATGTCCTGGTATGACCGAGAGTGGGGTGGGCCTACCCTCCCTCTCGAAATGCTCTCACACGGCCACGCGTATACAGCCTCTGCCTTCAACGTCCGCACACTTATGCAGGTCGGACAACAGATAGGACTGGCTATGTCTTTGGATAGTCTTAATATCGATGTTTGTTGCCTATCCTAGACCCGTATTCAAGACTCTGGTGAAGTACTACAAATTTGATCTCCATCTGTCGCTTCAAAAAGCTTGTTTGACGTGCGTTTATCCGGGGACCCTGTGGCAGCTTCATCTTGTCTTGCTGGTGTTGGTGTCGCACTAAGCGCTAGAGCTGAGGCAGCACCAATATATTGGATCCCCATAAACAGTCGGTTATGTGCTGTTAGAATAGAAAGTTCCATCAAAGTGAGACGAAATCGGCGTGAGAAACGATGTCTTTTCGTCATCTCCGTCTATGCTCCGACAGATTGCAGCCCGGATGAAATCAAGGATGAGTTTTACCACCAGTTATCTGTTCTTCTCCAGAAAGTGCGTTCGACAGATATTGTAGTACTAGCCGGAGACTTGAATGCTCAGGTCGGGCGTCTAGGCACAGAAGAGAATTGTTTAGGTGGCCGATGGGGACTTGTTGGTCGCAGGACAGATAACGGGGACCGTTTACTGCAACCGTGGACAGACCACAACCTGTTTCTGGCTAGCACTAACTTTCGGCACATTCATCGCCGATGTACCACATTGTACCAATATTTATGTGTTCAAATAAATGAATAATAAAGTTTGAGAATACGCAATAGAAGTAAAAACTTTGGTGTCCATTATCAACCTCATGAATGAAGACGATAATGAAACATAAATCTCTTATCAATTTCGTATATTACACTTAATCTAACCACATTGTGCAATGGTGGTAATACAAGCCGAATTCGAAATGTGCTAGAAAAATCTGAGGCACTCGAATGCAAACGGACAGATGGTAAGAATGAATAGATGAAGCTTGAAAATAGGCTTTACGCCAACTTTATTAAATAAATTTATATCTAAGCTTATTTATGAAAACAGACAAAGAATAATCTTGGTGAATAGAGATAAACAAGAATTCACATATAAAAATGCACATAAGTGAAAGGTTGGGATTATTAGTAAATGAATGAATACAATATAACCAATAATCTCATAATTAAGTATGTGAATATCAGATAAGGTCAAGCAATAATTTGAATAATTCCGCCATATTAATTCCCGCCACAATCCAATTGTAAATGAGTTACTACAACCCCGAAAAAAGGTCGAATGAAACTTACGTAACAGATGGATCCCAACTCTGTTAGTTAAAGGAAAAGATAATAAAAATGTTAGGGGTAATATAAATATGATAATATCATAAACACCCCTAATCTTGTTCGCAACTTTTGTAAACTTCAAAATATTCAGGAATAACTGGATACATTTAAACACTGGTTTATCAAGAAGGCTGAGTGAACAGAGCGAGACCCTATGTTTCATGACCGATTTTCCCAAAAAACTATTCTGCAGTACAGAAAATAAGAGTGACAAATAAATATGGTTAACTAATCTTCGAAACGTCTACATGCATCTTGACAGAACTCATCGCCTATGGGTATTGAACTGACTATGTATTTTCAACTCTGAGGTAAGTGGTATCGTAAATAAGACAGTAATCAACATAGTATAATGCTTCTGTTTTCCGATTTCGAAATTATATGAGACTGACAAAATCCAAGCACGGGTACAAAAGGTTCTCTTGGTTTTTGCCAAATTACGCCAGATATTCATGTTAGAAAAGATTTATTGAACAGCAGTTTTTTCCTTATTACTCTCACTATAGAGTATTGAATAGAGGGAAAGTTGGTAGTTGAGGTTATATATCACCATATAGTGAGATGCTTAGTACATGATGTAGTCAGTCAGCTACAACGTAGGACCAGGCACATATATGTATCGATCCAAGTTGCCATACTTCATTAGCACAACAAGATGAACACCGGATTCATAGAAGTAGTTAATTCAGTGGTGATAATATATAAAAGAAAGATTGCATATAAGGACAAGTACATGATGCGTTGCACATGCAACAACCGTTTACGCTGACATGTAGTGGAAAAGTTGTAAAAAAAAAGCTAGAGATGGGAAGATCAATACATATAATCATTCCATGAATTTACTGACTGATGATATGAGACATGTTGACAAGTGAAGGCTTGCCAACTGGAGGTCGCAAAAGACTCATAATCAACTGTTGTAGACATTCAGTGATAGGGTGAAAAACTGGTTGCACTTGTGTTCCTTCTCCATTTTCCTCTAAAAATTGTGGGTTAAGCATCATTATCAACTCTCCATTCTTCAGTCTCGTTTGTTCATTTGAGATTATATTTCTGGTATCTAGTTAATTTATACAGTTGAGTGTGAGATGAACAAATGGAGGACTTCTTCCATTATTGAGTGAAGAATTATGTCAATGAGATGAAGGGGGAATATTTGCAGTTTAGGAAGAGGATTTATGAGATGTTTTGTTTCTGAGCTAGATAACTTAATCGTGAAGATTCATTGTCTTCATAAACATCATCGGTAAGTAATAAAATCTAATTTCAGATCAAATAACAATATAACGGTAGTAGGTAATATCTTTGAATACTTAACTATACCCTATAATATCACATGAACGTACTTCATTAATTGTTAGAGTAGCTGATGTATGCTGAACTGTCAGAAATAAGAAAAAAAAGTTAAAACAGTGAAAGCCGAAAATTAGAACGATAATAAAAAGAATTTATAAAGAGGACGTACAGACTGAAAGTTTTAAATCTCAAAAGTGGTGGCTTCAAGATTTAATGAAGTAATTTCTCATTCAAGATTGACAAAACAAGTTTTAAAATACATTATCTGTCCAATAAATACGCGAACAGAGATCCTAAAGACATTTTTATAAACATGTGGGAATATTGATGTTATCTCGTTCAAAATACTCATTATATGGTTCCCACTTCCATTACAATTGTTCAAAGCATGTGTGGAAGTTCTCGCTAATGGGAAGGAATTGCCAGGGATTAAATCTAATGCAAAGGGAAGTTGATTTAGTGTGTTAACTAAATCGCCCTAAATTGTATAAACTAAAGTTTCCGTTTTTTGTAAAGACTATGTATATCTGTCTAAAAATGTCTCCATTAAAACACCAAAATAGTAGATAAAGGAGAATAATATTAGCAAATCAACAAGTGAATTATTTGACAGTACAACGAAAAACCACATATCCAGCTTTCTAACAAGTTCACACATTTTGATCAACTGAATAATATAGCTATGCACAAACTTCAGTATTCAGAAGCTTTGATATTAGCCAGATAGTCATAAGTAAACGTAAGAACATGACACTTGTGTATAAATATGAGTTGCTACACAACAGTGAGATGACAGTGCGAAAATAAATATCGGAGTTGAAGCACCAGTTATGATAAACAAGATTTAAAACAGAGAATATGATTCAGTAAGAAACAATTTGCTGAACAAAAAGTGTAGAATAATTTAGAAACTCGTGATCTAGAGGTAGATTAGTAGCGAACGAATATATGTCACTGTAACCGATTCATCAACATGTCACCCACCTCGAGCCACCGATTATGATTATTCGTAGTTTGAATAAACCAACAGTCAAATAACATTGCGGATCGATTTCACATCTTAGTTTAGATGCCTCTAGCTTCCGGCTAACCCACTCCTTTTCCGATCAGCGTTGTGCATCGTGGTATTTAGCGTTAAGTATTTATCGTGTGTAACACATTTCTCAATCATATCAGTCATGAAGCAATCACAGCCTCATAAACTAATTTGCCATATTTGTCTAGTATTATACATTTAACTTCAAAGTACCGATTATCAAATATCAGTAACTTTTGAATGTCCTATACTTTTACTGACTACACTTCAAAGCTGTAAAGTAAAATTGAGCAGACTGTTGCGCAGCATACTCTTCCTTTGATTAGAAGACGATTTTCTGGCTCACCACAAAGGTGATGCGAGTTGACAAACCCAAGATAGACTTTTTGATCCGTGCAGAGATTTTATCAATAACCAACACGACAGGGCTGACGAGAATTCCAAGATGAGTAGTCGACACGCTTAACCACTGCGTTCCCTATCACACTCTAGAATATAATGTAAGGCGGTTTTGAAACACTTTGCATTTAGAGGGTGAGAAACGTAATCCAGACATGCACAAGACTAGAAGACTACATCCTATCAGAGTTTTCGACAAACAGGTTGATATTATATGGGTGTTCTAAGTCAACAGGTGAATTTCATGGTCAGTAATCTACAACGTAGGACCAGGCACACATATGCATCGGTCCACGTTGCCATACCTCATTAGCACAATAAGATGAACACTAAATTCATAAAAGTAGCTACCTCAATGGCAGTAGTATATAAAAGAAGGATTGCATATAAGGATATAATACGGGGAGAAAGAAATATATAAAGTAATTTCAATCTCAGTTTATGGGAAGACAAAGAGTGGGTACACGTAGACCATTGTGATCGATTCTGAGCCACGTCACCTAGTCTTCAAACATTGGCTACGATAGTTGCGTGGACCCAAACCAGGTAGTGTTACCTACAGCCAGTATCTTAACCATTTTCCTATTAATAAACTTTTGCATCCTCAGCTTACACTCTTACGAAAACGTGAGTGTTTGAAGTCGTCGAGACATTTGAGAACTAGAACCTAACGACCTACAAATGTATAGTGACAAGTGTTTGGGGATTCCGTACAAATGGTCGGCGAAAATATCAAAAAAGGGATGAAGTGCTTCCGTTTAGTACACAATTTTATAAGCTATGTTAGTGTACTTACTAAAAAGATGTAAAATACCCATTTGTAGTTGTCCAATTTCTGGCAAAGCTTTTCTAATCTCATCCGTAACATAATGACATCCACGTGACTTCTTTTTCAAAGTGATAATTCGCTGAAACCAATAACTGCCAGTTGCAGAAGTCATTATCTATGTGTAGAATATAAACAGACATGAAACCATTGTTGAAGAATAGTTATATATCTATAACGTTTATAGTCAAGGCAAAATAGTAACCTATAGTGAGTACTATGGGATCTTTGTTAAAATAAAATAGTGGTATTGTGTTTGATTGATTTGAGTGTACCGTCGATATGTCTAAACGATCTAAAGACGCTAGGTCCTCGTACATGAACTATTTGGTGTGATGGTAAATCGTTTTGTCGTCAATCAAGGGAAATAAGACGAATTCAGTCAGGTTTTAATACCACTGAGTTGGCATTTAGTGTAATGTTCATTGATGAAAAGAAACGAGATCCACAACCCACCGCGTTTTCTCACACTAAACAAGTAAAAACAAAGGAAAGTGGTCCAAAAAAACAGTTTATTAATGACATTTCTCTTGTCCGGAAAGACATTACTCCAGCTCAAAACAATTTTAAGTAACCAGAGGATTCTAAAACAAGTTTGGTTATGCAGCTGAGAAACTAATACCGGAAAATATGGATACTCTCGAACCATACAAACTTTAAAATTTCACCGTTTAATCTGTCAAAGCTCTGATAAGGAAGTGAATATCTTTTCCTGATAAGCAAAGAAAGGTGTCATTTATGTATTATGGTAATTATCTAGTAGCTTTATTCCTTAAAATACACCGAAGTTAAAATAATACGAATAACTAGAAACACAGACGCATTCTTTCATCAACATTCATGACAGCATATTTCTATAGAAAATAAAATCTGTTTCATTTAAATAAATTTTGAAAACATCTCATAGAAACCGGTTTTAAAAAACAATAAATTGTATTTACAACAGGGTAAAAAAAATAAAGACGACAATACAAGAAAGGCTATTTAGAGAGAAGGAAAAATCATAAGCATTTAAAAAGTTAACAAAATTTCCTGGTTGTATAGTAATGCATATAAAGACAAGCATGGAATAAGGCAAAAAGGTGGATAAAAAAAGTAATACTATTTCAATAAAATAGTTTAGTGAAAGCGATTCATTCATTAAAAATAATTTACAACACCTAACCGATCTTTTAATGTTTTAGGTGTACGGAATTTTTCAATTATTCGTGAAACACTATGACCAGTAATTATATCATCTTCTTTGTCAGTTGAACAAGAAGAAGAACAACTAGAGAAGATTGATGGTGACAAAAGACTGGAATGTGAGATTTTCCTTTCAGATACAAAAGAATTGGATAGAAGAGAAGTTTGCAATTGTAAACGTGGGTTATTAAATAAATTAGACAATGAAGATGAGCGTTTGGTCAAGTTAGAAAATGTAGATTTCAATTCACTATTCAATGGAGATGAAAATTTGCATACAGCGGAGAGAGACGGTGGTGGCGATTCGCGACCAGTGTGATTGTACGCTTCAATATCACTATTATAACCAATATTCATTTCGGAAAAGATGGATTCAGGCAACATATGCTTGTGATTTCTGTTGACATCATTATTGTAATCACTAGTAGCAGCAAACATACAGAATATTTGGGAGAAAAAAATATGAAAAGTAATTATTACAACTGAAAGGAATGAATTAAAAAACAGCAAAGGCTGACTCGCACGTGGCCCATAAAAATAGATGCTAGTAGGTTACTAGTATTCGATCATAGATGTCTATGGAGTATTGTTCGTGTATTTTGGGACCATTGCGTTAGCAAATCTGAGGTAAGATGCAGAGTATTAAATAAGGATGGAAATTGAATAACGAGATATTAAATCGTTATCGAGTGAGATGGTTCGGACATGTATTACGTATGCCTATCTACCGATTACCTTGACGAGCAATGACGACTGGTAAAGGAGCAAGTTTAAAGAAAGGTAGGACCAGCCAAGCCAAGATGTAGTATTGGTCCATGTAGACACCGAATAATCGGCTAAGTCACGTAGGTAGGTGTACACTACCTGATCGAGGTCCGCTGATCATTATAACTGCTAGTTAGAAACTTTATATGAAATGGCTCAAAATCGTTACAAACGATGAAGGTGCATACACTTTTCGTCACTCCTTAGATTCTACGTTTCTAAATTCTTTACGAAAACCCTTTTATTTCACCAATTCATATTTTCTTCAATCGTAACTTCTATTCCTGGTCGCTTCTACTACCACTAATACTGTTACTACCTCTGTGATTCTGGGATTCGCCCTAACAATTTCATCTCGATATACTAATGGGGTACGTAACTTGAACCGATATGTCGGGTTCTACGTTGCGTTTGACTGACCGACTGGTTAAATCATCAACTAGGTACAGATCCGTATACTTGGGCTTTGAGCTACAATTTACGTTTTAAGGCTAGCGATACTTCTGAGATATTCAAGCTAAAGTAGATGGAATATGGGTTCGAATATGTAACATAGTAGTTAAAAGTCTAATATCTTAGTCACTAAGCCATCACTTCACAATTCATACTTTCATTTGAGGCTATACTACAACAAGTAGTTCCGAATTTTCACGCCAGATGACTAAGTTAAAAGGTAGAGGGTCGAAAGTGGTACTGGAACTAACTTACAGGTTATGGATAATTAGGCTAATAGTCAGTGGTGTTTTAAGAGATAATTTAACATTCCGAATATAAACACGTTTACAAGACTAGCTGAACATAACAGGAACATGAGTAATGATAGAAAAGCAATACATTAGACGAAATCAAGTTATTTTCTACCAGTTTTGACAAAATGAGGAGATAGTGAAAGACGAGTGATATGATATCATTCAGTCACAGTGATATAAATGTTATTCTACGAATCCTGATCATAGTGTTATTTCGTGATGTTTTACTTCCCACTGACATGGATAGCACTGTTCCTCTTTCCCTACTTTTCATCTTCACTTCTTCAATCGCAGTGGTGATATGAAGTGTGGCATCTTGTATTGATAACACATTCATGTTAAGTCATATTTCTTCTGTGTGATTTGTGAAACATTTGAAATAGTTATAATCAAATAGAGATAGTATAGCTCAAAGTGTGGTTCACGGTATTTATTTTATGATAAGTAATTCCCAATATTACACAAATACTAGCTGAGAAGTCTAGCTCTCGTTATTGAGTTTTACGTGCCAGTCTCACAATCAGTATCAATCCCAGTCAGGGTTCAGTACTTCAAACATCATTCATTGTCATTTTATGAGATACATATCAATAAATTTGTCGGTTGATTTGTCATCTCTCATCAAAAATTTGCACTGATTAATCTAATCACAGAACACAAAGGATTGATCGATAACCAAACTGAGGAAACCTCTTATTATCTGTGATTAACACTTTACCTTGATAGCTGTTAAGTAGAACGGATTATAGCTCAACAATACGGTGGATACATAACACATATTTTCAATAAATATACATGTATGCTAATACATATGTTTTTCTAATGTGAAAAAATGAATTTATTCCTAAATAACATATAGAAAACCCTCTGAACTTACACATATTCATTTTCATCAATGCTTGAATTGTCTGACTCCCACACTGGATGCTTAATGAGATTAGTAAGCGAAGTCAAAATATTAGGACTTTTGTCTTTTTCTGACTCACTCTTATTTACTTTTTTAGTTGATATACTTAAACCCTTGAATGCTTCATCTAACATAAGTTGATTTTTGTCAATTTTAGACAATTTCGACTTTGTTTTTTTCTTCCCAATTAGAATTTGACGCGTGGAATTTTCGAACACAGAACAAATTTCACTATGAGCTCTACGAAATTCTACTTGTGGTACAGAAAAATAATAATTGCAATTATCAGAAGTATTTATATTCTGAACATTTTCATCATTGGGATGCAGAATATTTTTTTGTCCGGACCATTTATCGAATCCTAGATATAAATAAAAATGCGAAAAAAGTAGGTATAAACAAAACAAACTAGGAATACCATAAAATCATTGTTATATCTAGAGCTTAGATTCTTCATACAACGCGTACAACTTCAGCACTCGAACGCTAGAACCCTGCGAGTGGCGAAATGAGAAGACATAAGAAGAGTGAGAAGGAATGTTATTTCAATAGTGTCAAATATGGTACAAAACTCTCAGGTATTTATAGTTTTTAGTAAAAGCGAAATCATCATTATAGTCATCCAATTCGCATACAGTGGTTTCTAACTTTCGTCCAACAGGGAAGCTACACGTCGAGATTCTGGAATGTTCTTCCAAGAGATAAATGGATGGAATGTCTTCGGCTCTTTCTGAGCTTCTTAGAACTTCTTTGAGTTCGTTGTGTGCCGTCCTCATAACCATGAACTAATTAATCACTGAATATTGAATAGTGTTATATTATCTATTCTTTATAGCGATGATGATGGTTTCTCGGCGAATGTGACCAAAGAACACATTACGTCAAGAAATGGGGACAGACATGAGAAAAATGAACAAAAATTGGATAGAACTAGAAAGGAATGCCCAGGAAAGAGTGGGTTGGAGAATGCTAGCCTGCGGCCTATGTTCCATTGGGAGTAACAGGCGTAAGTAATAGCGATGATGTATTTATACTAATTGAGCTGTAATGTGACTACTAGTTTAGGTTACATGATATTCGAGGGAACTTTCTTTTGATATTTGATGGTAAAAATAATTCAGTAAAAACCTATAAAACCAGGAATTGTGCTGGATGGCACTTCTCACCAAGGTGTATGTGTAATTTTGAAAACAATGATTTTACAGGTGTCATATTCAAATAGTCAGGAATATTATAGCAAGATGAGTAAGATTTACTACAGAAAAGAATCAAGTTAATTGAGTATTTTGGGTAATTTCCGGTAACTCGTTTATATTCTATTTACTTATCATGTTCAGGTATCTTTTAAAATGAAAAACGAAGCACCTATTTTGTATTGGTTATTTCTGATTAAAAGTTATTGGAATTATTTCACTAATATGTGAAATCTCAACATTCGTTTAGTCAGTTAGTAAGCTCTTTGTACTGAAGACGATTACATGTGGAGTGTTTGAGTACTAGGGAGTAAAATGAAATGAGTGCCAAACTTTTACCTTTGTGACTATTAGAAAAAACCCAAACAATGGAACAGAATTTTTATTGTTTTAGGCAGACCGGTCAACAACAAACATTCAGTAAGGAAATGATTCAATCAAGCTGATTTTCAACTAGTCATTGTTTGCAGGTGTTTTAGATGATTTGTTTTTCTATTTATTTATTTGTAATCTTAGAATTTCTATTTTATCCAGATTACTTGTACATTATTCAGTACAACTATGTTAAACTAAGTTAGTTTGAAAATTATACGCAGATAACAAAGTAATATGTCACTGACATCCGTATATAGATAAAGATAAAAGTACACTGAACATCCACTAAAATAAGTTCACAAATTGCAACTTACCCAATCTTTCCCACTCGACTTCGTAAGAGTCTACATAATTAACTATGCGTTTCTTTACTATCCTATAAGGAAAAAAATATACTTGGATTAAAATACCAGAGAAATAATGCACAAGCCTAATTAAATTAAGAACTAAGTACAGGTGGTTAGTGAGATAAATTATTAGAGATTCAAGTCAATCAATTAGTAAAACTTATCAACGGTCTCTTATTTAAAATGTGACCAGATTTGTTAAGAAAGTGAACAATATTTGAGTTGCTAACTTGCAGCTTAAATATATTTTAAAATATTTCTCGGGAAGTAAAGCTTTTATGTAGTCAACCAGGTCCCTACGACGAACGCTTATTGATTCAGGTTACCGCATCTGACATCACAACAAAATAGGAAAATAACAAGATAAACACCAATGGAGTCAATATAATCTCAGTAGCAATGATGGTAAACAACGTTAAATATTGAATATGGTTACAAAAGTAGTAAAAATGTATGTATGAAGGAATTCTGAAACTTACGATCTAGAAGATAAGTGGATCTAAATGCCCTACTAAGACCGATTTGGAGATATTTTACTCAACATCTCCAACCACTGATCTCAATTATCCCACAGATTACAAACAGTTTGGATCTACCGATATGTCTCAGTCCAATAGTCAGTGATCTTTATAGACTGATGACAAGACTTAGTTTGGGTATCTTTATTTTTGTCTAATCTAATATTATACCAACCAACATTATTCGTCGAGGGAGTTGGTGGTTGGATACAGACAACGAATCTCCTCGTTACTTCAGCTGACGAATACCCACAACCTCGTCAACCGATTTGACAGAAACCTACCTGTAACCTAACCCTTGCTAACTCGGTGGTCCCGAAACACATGACCAATGTTTCGAATAAACCTATTATCGAATACTAGTAACTTATGAATGCCTTCTACATTTAAGTGACACGTTTCGTAGTCAAAAAATGAAACACAGCGAAATGATATCTACCGTACTTCCTGCTTTATTGTCAGACGTCGCAACGGCTAACACGTTAGTAAATCTCAGGCGAGATTTCTGAAATCATACTGAAGTACTGGAAAAACATACAAGATAAGTGATCGAAATCTCCCCAGTGATTTAAAATTATAAGGCGCTTGAAGATCGGAGAGCAGGTAAAATTAATCAGCTTCACTCAGTAGTATTTCACGACGTTAATATTTTAAATAACATAGTTAAAATACTTTCGAACACGAAACAATAATGCGATCTTATGATCTGGAGATCCAATTACCATTTTAATGGTGCATCAATCTAATGAAATTAGTCAAGAGTAAAACGGAATATTGACTAGATATATTGCCCATAAGTAACGCTTATTTTATTGCAAATGTTTTCTTAGTCAAGATTTATTGTTTAGCTAGAGGCTAGTTCCTTGTTAAAGATTCATGTATTTAATGTTTAACCCAGAGGGCAATCTTGATAATTTTGTCTCTTGTTTGTGTTTAACGTCTACTATATGCTCCTGGTTTACTCACCTTGGATTTCTATTAGTAATTTAAGCAAATTTCATCCAAGTAAATATCGGCATATGGTAACAGACAACTGAATATTACAAGAAGCTACGAAAATCTTATGACTTTATTCAACCATGGTGCGAGTATATATTTAACTGATAGAATAATATTATCCGACCGGCCATTTTTTTTAAAAAAAACCTCCACCCCAATAAAAAAATTTTCCACCCCCAAATTACAATATTTTTCATCCCGTGTTTCGTCCAATGAAATGGCTAGTTTCAAAACTTAGATTTAATTGGTTACTTATGTCTTGAACATTGTTATAAATTATCAGTACTTGTCGACGAAGCACATTTCAATCGTCTTTTTGACTACCTTGTTTCTGGTTGTGTTTCCATCGGTTGAAGCGTTAAAGACCACTATCACAAATTTCGAAAGATCGACTTACAGTCATTATGTAGTGAGAGATTCGCATATTGGCAGAGATCAAAAATCGTACATTAAATTTGTGTGTTGGCGAAATGGGCGTATAAGATCTAGCGGTTCGTCACAACGTATTAGACGGAGGAGGTAACTTGGTTAATGGTTTTATAATTTTTTTAACGAAGGGCTTCTATGAACACCCAATGTCCGGCCTTCATGTTTTGTAAGATTATAGACGGCTACTGGACTGTTGTCCATGGGAATGTGCATCACAATCACGAGTGCAATTCCCTGAGGTACCAAGGTAATTCATGGGTGCGCAGGTTAACGGATGGGGAGTTTGAAACTGTGAGACCGCTGCATTCCACATAAAGAATTTTGCTTACCAATCTTATGGGAAACGTCTGAGTGATCAAGATGTCTGTAATATGCGGTACAAAGTGTTCTCACACGCGAACCTTCCTGGTAAGCAATTTGCCAATTTATAATGTACACTATAGGTGATTACGGGAAATTGAAAGCTCCCATAACATCCTTGGGTGGGCTTTGCGAATACGAATTGGACTATGAGAACTGTCTATCATATTTCTTCTTCATGACTGCTGAGCAACTGAATTTGGCCGGCCACTTTTGTGATGTAATTGGTTTTGACGGGACGTACAAAACGAATAACGAGAACGTCTGATAGGTACTCTGTATTCTATTTAAGAGCTGTGGTGTTGATTCGCAGTTAACCAGTTGTTGGTCAATAAAGGCAATTAATCCCAAACTATCTATTCCCCAACGATAACTAGATTGAAGTTTGAGTGTGACTAATGAGTTGAAAAATCGAACACTGTAGTTCTATGAAGATTAACGTTCAAGAGCTTCAGTATCATATATCCAAACTCTACACGTAACCGAAAACCGACAATAAATTAAACATAAATGAATAATTGATTAAACCAAAGATGAATAGTGGCTAGCAGTGGAATCCAGGACGCGCGTTTCGTCCTGTTCGGGACTCGTCAGCTGGGCGTACTTGCATCTCAGAGCTGATGTTTACTCTGGGACTCGAACTCAGTACCGTTCGCTTCAAACGCCATTGCGTTATTCACTTAGCTACTGAGTCCTGATAGCCACTTGCTTGTGCAATGGGGTGAAGTTTAATTCACTTGATATTGTTTTACTTGAATCTTCCCATTGATGTTTTAGGACTGAAATTGATCAGTCTCTTATTGGCATATGTGCATACTGTGCGTATAATGCTTGTAAATTAAGGCAATATCGAGGCATACGCACAGTATGAACATATGCCAATAAGAGACTGATCAATTTGTCCTAAAACATCAATGGGAAGATTCAAGTAAAACAATACCAAGTGAATTGATTAAATCGTTTAAATATACCTTAAAGGTTTCAAAATAACAGAATCATCAATTTGATAATCAATTAACGACTTGATATATGAAGGTGAATTATAAATTTGAGGATGTCTTAAATCCCATAATGCCATAACTGGTAAAAAATGTTGAAGAGTATAGGCTGGATCCCAATTTAAATGAATTTGACAAAAAGATACAGCTTTTCTTGGATCTGGTCGTTTCCACTGAGAAACAGATTCCTGTTTGGGTAAGATCCAATTACGATTTTCAAAACTAGTTAAGAATTCTGCAAATATCTAGAACAAAAATAAATAAATAAAACTGGGTATTCAATAAAATATTTGGTTAACATTATAGGATTTTCGAGGATCACGTATTACATACGTTCATCTATTAAATTTGAATTGATTCAATTAGTGGATGTATTCTTGGAATTCACTGATGGATAAAACAAAGACACTAAGAGTAAACGTATCAACGTACATTGGTCAGACAGTAAATGAATCTTAACTAGACATGAATTTAAACATTTCCGAAAAAATACATGCGTGGATGAAATGTCATCCTCTTAGAAAATATTATATATTGGGTTTTCATTCATCGCGATTTGAATATTTGGTATCTAACAATAGGTATCAAACAGTCAAACGGATTTCTGTAGTCAGTGTGTCCACATTTGTTGACTCGGTGATTGGATAAAACAAAGAACGCGTAAAAATAGTGGTAAAGACTGTCATCGTCGTCTTTCTAAGACGACATTCCACTCCCATCAATTCGCTATTTCATACTTCAAATTTCTCTATGATAAGTGAGTCGTTATATTTAGCTTTATAGTTTTTAACGACGCTCATTAATTTCAATATCCATACTTTAACAAATGATTAAACAGATGGATGTAATATATATTTCGAATAGTTAAACATGGATCGGATTTATTCTATATTGCCTGGTCTAATCATAAATAAAACAAGATACACGAGTGTATATTGGAAGCTGAAATTTAGTTTTAAGAATTTAATGTTGACGGAATGAAGAAAGAAAAAAGAGGATTACGTACAGGCATATTTTGAGTTAGTTCATGCAGTAAATCGGTAGTTCAAGTGGTCAACTATCAGGAATAAATAACTCTCATTAACAGACTTGGTGTTTACGGGATTGGTTGTGTTTGAACTTTGAACACAAATAATGATAAAAACTTAGTTTCTGAAAGACACAAACGAAAAACATCCACAACCACTTAGCGTTCTGGGCAGAAGTAGACTACCTGGTCAGAGTCCGCATGATCATTAAAACTTCTAGTTAGAAACTTTATATGAAATGGCTCAAAATCGTTACAAACGGTGAAGGTGCATACACTTTTCGTCACTCCTTAGATTCTACGTTTCTAAATTCTTTACGAAAACCCTTTTATTTCACCAATTCATATTTTCTTCAATCGTAACTTCTATTCCTGGTCGCTTCTACTACCACTAATACTGTTACTACCTCTGTGATTCTGGGATTCGCCCTAACAATCTCATCTCGATATACTAATGGGGTACGGTAACTTGAACCGATATGTCGGGCTCTACATTAAGTTCAACTGGCTTAGTTATTTAGTACAGTTCACCTTGGGAACATGAATTTTTTAGTCTGTTATAACTTGTGGCCTGTGCCCTGTTAATGTATAACTTAATGGGACCTCCAATTAGAGAACAGTGAATTATCGACCGGACCAATGACTCAAAAGAGTCTTTATCGGTCCCGCTTCCCGCCTAGCCCTGCCAGTTAAGTCCAGAACATCAATCTCAGCCTCTGCAATATGAATCATTTATTTCAAACATACTAGGGTTATATACCAACCAGATAGACCACATCATACCATAAAATAGGAAACAACATTTGTACAAGATTTAACCAAATGTGGATGCGAGTGTGGGAGGTAGTAATTAAAAGACAGGGCATAATTCGAGAATGATAAATCACAGAATAATAGTTCATAGGTCAAAATAAAGCTCATAATAAGAGGGACATGAAAATGAATAGTTTAGTTATTTAACAATTATACAATGAAAATATACGCATAGTATTGGTCCATAAATGGATCCCAAAAGTTACCATTCATTATTCTTATCGGGATATAACATAGTCAGAAACAGTAAATACAAACATAATGGAAACCTAATTTCGCAGAACCCATTTGAAACTTTGATTATTTATTTGTTGTTTTGACGGACTGCATTTATCAGGTTGTGAATCTTTATCGAATGAACTGTTGATGACCTGTTCGATGTATGACAAGTCACTGACTACCCCCAGAGTAAGAACTAGAGGTTTTCTACCATAGATTAAGATTATTTTAGCAACTTTAACCAAGAAGTCTGTGCATTTTAATGTGACTCAGACTAATGCCATCACGGCCTAATAAACAATGACATAATTAGTCAGATTCCTTATTTTTGGTGACTTACTTCTTCGTACGGACAATTCTTTAATTCTACGCCAACACGCAGCCACATTTTTATAACACTTGGACATACACGAAGATCAAATGGATTGAGATTGAAATCTTCGCAATTTTGTGGACAAGTACTTGTTAACCAAGTCAAAAATTTAATGAGAAAATGCTCATCTACATGCAGATTTGGAGATTTCAAGGATGCAATCAAACGTAAAGCTCCAACCGGACCTAAACGAGAGACACCACTTGCCCAATAATCACAACCCAACAAAATGCCAAGTAGAACTAAATCACATTTCGTCAAATTCAGTACGCTGCGTATACGATGCATGTGAAAAACACAAACACTGGAGTCCTGAAAAAGAGAAATGAATGCGTGATAACATCTAGAATAATATTCATAAAATAAAACTGCGTTTTTAGTAACTACTTAAGGGTTGGTTTATTGGGCTATTACTAAAACTGACCGTTCTAGTTTCAGTATACAAAGCATGGTCGAACTTTTGTTAAAAACGAATTTATAGCTCATCGCATCAAAGTCACTCATTTTTAAGAAATGTCAATTTAAACTGGAGAATTCAAAAATAATTAGTAGACTCAATAGCTCTAGAACCAAAATGAAACAGAAAAACAGAAGGAAGAAAGTACTTTAACTTTCTGAACAGACTAATAAGTATGGTGAAAAATCATTATCGTCGAGAGTATGAGATAAGAACATACTTAACGACAATAAAAATTTAAACTTTATCAAAGACTTCAAATCCTGTGATAAAAAGTAAGTCTTGGTATAATATTCACATTAATCGATCACTGGTAAGCAACTAGTATCTTACTCCGGACTTCTCAGCGTTGATCGAATTCAATTGATAGGAAAGTGGCAACATGGTCATTAATTTGAACAATCCCGATTTACTGTAGTTTGCATTTGATGCTCGGTAGTTGAAGGTAGGCTGTAAGTAGTCATAACAATAGATAATGCATCACCCAACGTAGTGATTAGAGACAGTGTTACTGAGTTACTTCACCCAAGACTGACTTTATTCAGCAATCTCATTGTAAGAGTGGTCGACTGAATACAGAACTGAGGGCTAAATAGGGTAAGAATGGTTGCCATTCAAAGTAAAATAAACCAGTTCTTCAAATGTTCAGTTGCGACTTAAGTAGCTCTGTCTACAGTGCTGATTGACGAGGACCTAAATCAGTTTCATTGAAGCTTTAAAAGCCCTTTGTTGATGAATACCTGAGAGAAACTAAGACCTAGAGCCCCTTATTGATTATCTACAGCCAACTGAAATCTAACACTGAAATAACTTCATAAAAGGTCTTGGTTCATTCATGTACAAATAAGATTAAAGGAGAAACAGAAAATAACTACTGAATAAACTAGCCATCAAAGAGCAATAAAAGTTGGATGAAATACACATGATTTTCATGACGTACCCGACTATCCATAGAGAAATGACGATAAACTGTCTCAGCACCATACAGAAAAGCGTCACCATCATTTGTGATACAAGCGTCCACTAGCTAAAAGGATAAATGAGAAAAAATACATTATTTTTAGCTGGAACAGTCTTGTTCATTAAAAATATCTAAAAAATAGACCAAGGAATAATTAATAAAAATCAGTTATCAGAAAAGGTCTATGGATTCGGTGAGAGATTGGATTGAAACAATAGGTCTAAGCCCATGGCTTAATGGCTGAAAACACATATTCAAACTACTTTGATATACTTATACTCATTTAAAGCCTATATGAGTAGTGTAAACTGAGAAATGAGGTAACTGTTATGACACGACGAATAATGGGAAAGTTGAAATTCTCAGTTATTTTTACCATATAATTGATAGATAACTTTACTGTTGCAGTTCTACGTCCCCTTATTATAAGCTTTCAGTGGACCTATTGACTGTTATAAGTTTCAGTGTTCCCTAATTATTGCTAATTAATTACGAACTGATTGCTTCGTCCTCTACCACATGGTATGATTGTGCTATAAAGTATGATTATTTATTTGGTACCGTATGTGGTTAGGGATCGTCGATATATTGTTGTATGAGTTTTGATTCATGATTGGATTGGGCACAACAGAAAACTAATCTGCTTCATACTGTCGTCTCCTGATTAACTGCCGGTTTGGATAGGGCTCGAAGACCAATAAGTGTTAAGACCTTGATTGTTATTGGTTGGTGTTATGTCCCGACGAGAATAATGGATGGTAACTTTTGGGATCCATTTATGGACCAATACTATGCGTATATTTTCATTGTATAATTGTTAAATAACTAAACTATTCATTTTCATGTCCCTCTTATTATGAGCTTTATTTTGACCTATGAACTATTATTCTGTGATTTACCATTCTCGAATTATGCCCTGTCTTTTAATTACTACCTCCCACACTCGCAGCCACATTTGGTTAAATCTTGTACAAATGTTGTTTCCTATTTTATGGTATGATGTGGTCTATCTGGTTGGTATATAACCCTAGTATGTTTGAAATAAATGATTCATATTGCAGAGGCTGAGATTGATGTTCTGGACTTAACTGGCAGGGCTAGGCGGGAAGCGGGACCGATAAAGACTCTTTTGAGTCATTGGTCCGGTCGATAATTCACTGTTCTCTAATTGGAGGTCTCATTAAGTTATACATTAACAGGGCACAGGCCACAAGTTATAACAGACTAAAAAATTCATGTTCCCAAGGTGAACTGTACTAAATAACTAAGCCAGTTGAACTTAATGTAGAGCCCGACATATCGGTTCAAGTTACCGTACCCCATTAGTATATCGAGATGAGATTGTTAGGGCGAATCCCAGAATCACAGAGGTAGTAACAGTATTAGTGGTAGTAGAAGCGACCAGGAATAGAAGTTACGATTGAAGAAAATATGAATTGGTGAAATAAAAGGGTTTTCGTAAAGAATTTAGAAACGTAGAATCTAAGGAGTGACGAAAAGTGTATGCACCTTCACCGTTTGTAACGATTTTGAGCCATTTCATATAAAGTTTCTAACTAGAAGTTTTAATGATCATGCGGACTCTGACCAGGTAGTCTACTTCTGCCCAGAACGCTAAGTGGTTGTGGATGTTTTTCGTTTGTGTCTTTCAGAAACTAAGTTTTTATCATTATTTGTGTTCAAAGTTCAAACACAACCAATCCCGTAAACACCAAGTCTGTTAATGAGAGTTATTTATTCCTGATAGTTGACCACTTGAACTACCGATTTACTGCATGAACTAACTCAAAATATGCCTGTACGTAATCCTCTTTTTTCTTTCTTCATTCCGTCAACATTAAATTCTTAAAACTAAATTTCAGCTTCCAATATACACTCGTGTATCTTGTTTTATTTATGATTAGACCAGGCAATATAGAATAAAGCCGATCCATGTTTAACTATTCGAAATATATATTACATCCATCTGTTTAATCATTTGTTAAAGTATGGATATTGAAATTAATGAGCGTCGTTAAAAACTATAAAGCTAAATATAACGACTCACTTATCATAGAGAAATTTGAAGTATGAAATAGCGAATTGATGGGAGTGGAATGTCGTCTTAGAAAGACGACGATGACAGTCTTTACCATTCTAACTGGGGTGGTGGGTATGGCGGGTCCACCTAGAGGAGTTGGAAAATCCTGATTCAAAACAAATGGCTACAGGATCTTTGGGGAACAAATGGCGTACTAACGAATTATTTATCACCAGCTACCATAGGACTGCATCTCCTGACGTCGCCTCACTGCCTTGTGGACCAGACCTGTAGGTCGAAGGCTCCGGGTGTGGCACTCTAAGAAAATCACCTGCTTCGGTTTGGGCACCTGGGCAGTATCACAGCCCAGACACAAATCACGTGACCTATGTGGCTCATATGCATTCGGTGCCACTTTGTGCCAATATTTACGTGTTCAAATAAATAAAATGAATAGTTATTAAAACCATATACTCCTAATGCACACAGTTAATTAAGGCATCTATAAACTACAATATGCTCTAAGTAAAATGTGAAGCAATACACTCACAGTTGATAGATTAGTGCTCAAACCAAAAAGCTAAGTTTCTATTAATGGGAAAACAGTGAGTCTTTCTTGAAAACTTACTTTACTTGAGTTAAGGAATGCACACATAGCTTCCGCTTCTCCAGGACTCCGGACCCATGGAATGCCAAATGAATTAAGTAGTTGAATGCACTAAAAGACACAACAAAGAAATACTAAACTGAACAGTCATTGAGACCTTAACGTCCTTCTTAACATCTACTTTAACACGATACCAAAATACATCGATAAAAGTGGCTATTATTGTGGGAAAGTAGTTATTTCTTCTGTGTTACTACCCCCATTCTTGTCATATTGGTTAAAAGAAAATGTAAAATATGGTAACTCTGAGGAACACAAGTAGACTCTAGACGAAAATGTGCTTCAAAGTTTGGTATATAACAGACGGTGGCTACTTATTAGTCTATCTCATATCATAACAGGAACTATGCACCTGTGTTTTACTTTATTTAAGTCAGTTCAAACTGGAAACTAGAAAGGTTAAACTAACTATTTTGAACGTTTTAATTTTTTTTCGATCTCAGATACCAGTGTCCTGACAAACAAATGAAGAAGCAGAGTTTAGATGCTGTGACTTAATTATTTTAGTTAGATTTCCGTAAATTCATCAATTAATCAATTTCGCCCTATGATACAACACTGTTAATATAGTGGCTTTGAAAATAAATTACCATACTACTGAGTAATTAAATTATCTTGGAACCTTAGAATCCTCATTTACTACTTACTTCTTGAGATATTTTTGAGAACCGTATTCTACTACGATTTGGTTTCGTACATTTCTGAGTTGTGATCTTCCCTGTCCTAGGAAAAGAGAATAGAACGAAAATGACGGTAATCGATACATTTTGGAGAAAACAGACATGAAAACTACGGTGATATAACAACTCAAAGTATCTATAAACGCTATGTATATACGAATGGGGAAGAAATTAAAATGACTGTTAGCAGGATAGAGCCATGATTAACGCATGCTTCAGACAAAATGACGTTGAGGTACAACCAATCAGAGCTAATGAATGGGGTAAGAAGACATTAAAATTTCTTTGTATATACACTGATATCTTTATGCTGCATTTACCTAACTTTTTGTCTGCTTTGGAATGTGTTTACGTTTCTGTCTAAGTCGTGCTTTGATATGGGAACAAGTAGAGTAAAGTGAAGTGTTCAAGAATGCTAGGTCAAATAAAACTTAATAACAACGGAAACTAACTGTTTTAATAACCAGCTGTCTATTTTATTAAGTTTGTAAAGCAAGAACTTTCAAAATCATGTCGTAGAATAATTTATAAAAGGATTTCAGTTATTCTAGTGGCTGTTAATCATCAATCCTATAACTGGATATCGACCTCGACAGATCAATAGTTAATTTTAGTGAGGAAGTAATATGATAAAAAATATACGCGAAATATATATCTTGAAAATAAGAACTGAATGGAAATGGGAGAAATTAATTTTGATTAAACAACTTATCCTTTAATAAATAATAAAAACGAAAATGAATATTAAATAGTCGCCTAAACTGAGCTATTTCATTTAGTTTCCAGTTTTAAATTTCTTTTTAATTCAATATTCAAACTAAAGACTTAAATTGTTCAATTTTCTTATAAGAACGGAATATGACAGTTGAAATGTGAAATCGAACACTTCCACGTAAGTCGAACTGTAGAGACAGAGTAGAAAGTCACGTCTTCGATCCTATTGGCAACCGAAATCTATATATATGGTAATATGATATAAAACTTTAAAAAAACGAAACAAGCTCAGTGGGTATATGAAGCTTTAAATCAGATTATTACTTGGACCCTAGCCATTATTGGACATACAGGAATTCACCTATTAGGGAGTGTTAAGCATCTGATAAATTCCACCCATTAATAATAACGAAGCCTCATTCACTTTAGTTTCATCAGTCGACTAACACTACATCTGAAACAACATTTACCGCAAGAAAAGTTACACGAATAATGACAAATATTCTGAATATATTAACTCTTGATTATCTGCCCTTAATAACTACAACTCAGTCAAACAGATGTGAGACGCGTGTTATTCTCTTCCAACTATTAGTTAACCACGTTAGTGGAATAAAATATAGTAAATCTTTGCAAACACAAAAAGTCATTTGATATATGCGTCGGAATGTCATCAACCATCAGCCTTTCTCGCTTAACTAATTCACTTTTTTCAAGTTCAACCTAGGTAGCTGAAACAGTGAAAACATATTGGTACTCATAAAACTTAAGGATAAAAGAACATGTACAGGTGATATATTTTCTTTCTAAAACATCAACACTAGATCTACCTTTATTGACAGCTTTCCAGGAAAAACAACTCACCATTTTTGTTGTCTTTGTTCCATAACATCCGATTTTAGTGACGGAGCGACACCATCCAAAACTGCGACAGGCAGGGTATTTTGACGTAATAGACCCACTAACCGGAAAAACAAATTCCTGCTTGTGGAAAATAAAAGTGGACTATTATACTGAAAAAATAAAGAATTTGGAGTTAGGTTTTCAAATTATTAACTAAATGTTAATTTCGTTTATGTCTGACTATAAGAGAATACTGTTTATTTATTATAAACTATCACTATACAAGTCATACCTGTTAGGTGTCCTGATGAAGACTTAATGTCAAACGAAAATTTATGCCAAGTCAGAAAAACAATGAGATCTAGCTAGTCAATTTGAAAGGTAGTAATTCGACTTAACCATAATAGCTTTCTACTGGATAAAATGAAGTTTTGACAAAATAGTTAAAAGTATGATAATCAAAAAGAAAAAGATTTTTGTATCACTATGCACAGCAGCTGGATTATAAAGATATTTTAGATGAATGTCGGTAAATCTACCGTGGCGGATGGTAGCCAGAAAAAGTTCAATATTTCGCGACATTCGTCAATAGATATTCACACGTAACATAAAGATGATTTAGAGATATTTCTGAAAACCAGTAGAAAAATACGACTTATTAATAGCAAGCAAGCAATCTGAGCAAGTTTGTGATATTTGATGTTTAAGATATGAATGAGAACTGGAAAGCTTTGGTAAGATATCACTTTTAGGCTTCAAACAGCCGTCAGTTTAACCTGGTTGTAGATATTTAAAGCACACGCTGTGAATTCATTTATTACCACCTAATTCAGAAACCGGTCACATGTTAACAATAGGATCCTAAGCATATTCTATTCCAGGATAATACTCATGAGGCCGCTTTCTAGTGTTTACAGTACAGTGTAAACTTATTGAGCACTGCTGACTAGCTGTGCTGTTCAGCAAAATGTTTAATCTCACTTAAGTGGCAATTGAAAAAGCTTCTGGTTACTAATCGAAGATAATATTACGGAATCTAATGTTTACTACAGTAGTAGTATTCATGTAATTACACACTTTAAATAATTTGATATCTGAATGCTCGAAAACTGTCCACCAAAAACACTCCAAAGGGTGACGTGTGACGGTGAGTATGTGAAAACTGTTACTACATAGTTTGCTGTCATATAACTCCGCATGGAGTCCCTTCGAGGGCTACTGTCGGTCCCAAGCCCGGATAAAGGAGGGTTGGGCATGAAGTTAGCGACCCCATCCTGTAGAAAACTAACTCGCTAAAAAAACGCTAACCAGAAAAAATTATTCAAACCATTTCAACTCTGCCCTGGGAGTCAGAAGGTCTTCATTTAGAAGAGTTATGACACCTCATGATGAAATCCAAGTTCCTTCGGAAGTCACGAGGCCGATGCCCCTTCTGGCAACAAGAGCGACCATTTATTTAGGTACAGGGAATGCTCGTACAATGTGGGAGACTGGGAGAGTCTTCAAAATTGCTGCACAAATGAGGACATACAACCTAGAAGTGTTTGGGATCAGTGAAACATTTTGGACGAAAGTTGGACAACAACGACCAGCTTCAGGGGAGCTTCTGTTATACTCCGGCCATGAAGAAAAAATGCTGCACATACACAAGGAGTCTCATTGTTGCTGTCCAAACAAGCACAAAATGCACTTATAGGATGGGAATCTCATGGACTAAGGATCATCAAAGCCTCGTTCAAAACAAAAAAAGAGGGCATTTCAATGAACGCCATCCAATGCTATGCGCCTACCAACGACTACAATGAAGACGCTAAAGATCAATTCCACGATAGGCTGCAGTTAATCGTCGAGAAGTGCACAACAAAGGACCTGACCATTCTGATGGGAGATTTCAACGCAAAGGTTGGAACGGATAACACTGGATATGAAGACATCATGGGACGACACGGACTGGGAGAAAGGAACGAAAATGGTGAGAGATTTGCAAACCTATGTGCCTTCAATAAACTGGTCATAGGCGGCACCATATTCCCACAAAAACGCATACACAAAACCACATGGACTTCACCGGATCACACCACGCAAAACCAAATCGACCATATCAGCATCAACAAAACGTTCAGGAGGACGATGGAAGACGTGAGAACCAAGAGAGGAGCTGATATAGCCTCAGATCACTTGCTGGTCGCCAAGATGAAATTGAAACTCAAGAAGCACTGGACAACGGGGCGGACAATATCACAAAAGTTCAGTACGGCCTTTCTTCAGGATACTACCAAACTCAACAAATTCAAGATAGTCCTCAGCAATAAGTTCCAGGCCTTTCATGATCTACTCAATGGAGAAGGAACTACTGAGGAGAGCAACTGGAAGGGGATCAAAGAGGCAATCACTTCAACATGTCATGAGGTCCTGGGTCACAAGAAGCACTACCACAAGGAATGGATCACTGTTGATACACTGGATAAGATTCAAGAAAGGAGGAACAAGAAGGCAGCGATCAATACCAGCCGAACAAGAGCGGAAAAAGTCAGGGCACAAGCTGAATACACAGAGGTAAACAAGCAAGTGAGGAGGAGCATCAGAACTGACAAACGTAAATATGTGAAAAATTTAGCAACGATGGCGGAAAAGGCTGCAAGAGAAGGAAACATGAGACAACTGTATGACACGACAAAGAAACTCTCTGGAAATCACCGTAAACCGGAGCGACCAGTGAAAAGCAAGGAAGGCGAGGTAATCACCAACACTGAAGAACAGCGAAACAGGTGAGTAGAATACTTCAAAGAACTTTTGAATCGACTAGCCCAACTGAACCCATCCAATATCGAAGCAGAACCCATGAACCTCGCAATCAATGTTGGCCCACCAACAATTGAAGAAATCAGCATGGACATCAGACAAATCAAGAGTGACAAAGCAGCAGAACCAGATAACATTCCAGAAGAGGCACTGAAACCAGATGTAGCAGTAACTGCAAAGATACACCACATTCTCATCAGCAAGATTTGGAATGAAGAACAAGTACCAACAGACTGGAAAGGACACCTGATCTAGATACCAAAGGAAGGCGATGTCAGCAACTGTGATAACTACAGGGGCATCACTCTTCTCTCAATACCGGGAAAAGTTTTCAACAGGGTATTGTTAAACAGGATGAAGGACTCCGTAGACGCCCAACTTCGAGACCAACAGGCCGGATTCCGTAGGGATAGTTCGTGTACAGACCAAATCGCAACTCCACGGATAATTGTGGAACAATCAATTGAATGAAATTCATCACTCTATATCAACTTCATTGGCTACGACAAAGCATTTGATAGCGTGAATATGACAACACTATGGAAGCTTCTTCGATACTACGGTGTGCCTCGGAAGATAGTCAATATCATAGAGAATTCCTATGATGGATTACACTACAAAATTGTGCATAGAGGACAGTTGACAAACTTGTTCGAAGTAAAGACCGGTGTCAGGCAAGGTTGTCTACTCCCACTCTTTCTCTTTCTCCTGGTGATCGACTGGATCATGAAGACGTCAACGTCTGAAGATAAGCACGGGATACAGTGGACGGCTAGAATGCAGTTGGACGATCTAGACTTCGCAGATGATCTGGCCCTTCTATCCCAAACGCAACAACAAATGCAGGAGAAGACGACCAGTGTAGCAGCAGCCTCAGCAGCAGTAAGTCTCAATATACACAATGGGAAAAGCAAGATTCTCCGATACAACACAACATGCACCAATCCAATCACAGTTGACGGAGGAGATTTGGAAGATGTAAAAACGTTTACATATTTGGGCAGCATCACTGATGAACACAGTGGATCTGATGCAGATGTGAAGGCGCGGATCGGCAAAGCAAGAGCAGCATATTTACAACTGAAGAACATCTGGAACTCAAAGCAACTGTCAACCAACACCAAGGTCAGGATTTTCAATACAAATGTCAAGACAGTTCTACTGTATGGGAAGGAAACCTGGAGAACTACAAAAGCCATCATCCAGAAAATACAGGTGTTTATTAACAGTTGTCTATGGAAAATAATTCAGATCCATTGGCCGGACACTATTAGCAACAACGTACTGTGGGAGAGAACAAACCAGATCCCATCAGAAGAAGAAATCAGGAAGAAGCGCTGGAAGTGGATAGGACACACATTGAGGAAAGCACCCAACTGCGTCACAAGACAAGCCCTCACATTGAATCCTCGAGGCCAAAGGAAGAGAGGAAGACCAAAGAACAGATTACGCCGGGAAATGGAGATAGACATGAAAAAAATGAACAAGAATTGGATTGAACTAGAAAAGAAGGCCGGTCGGCGGCTTATGCTCCATTAGGAGTAATAGGCGTCAGTTAGTAAGTAAGTTGCTGTCATATGTATACGAACTCCAAGTGCTTTGTTAAATAGACGATTATCTGGCTGATAATATGATTTTATGTTTTCAGTCACGAAAAATGTGTCTGGTATAATGTGATTTTATGGGTCAAGTATCCAGTCTAGTGATCATACTATTATCGTATTCCAGTATCGCATTTATTTATTTTATTTATTTGAACACATAAATATTGGTACAAGAGAGAGCCAATATATATGCGCCACACAAAACAATGGGAATTCGAAGAGAAGTAGAAAGAAAAAAAAACTAAGGAACGCAAAAGAAAAAGAGAGTAATGACGAAGAGGTACAATCAGAAGAAATCTTTCAGGTAAAGGAGACACAACCACTTTTTATGAAGAAAGTAAAAGAAGGTTACAGCAAGATCGCCACTGGCTTCTATTCTGAGCCATATCTGATAACGTCTCTAGCCACTGTGTAGCACCATCTCTCGGACCCCAGCCAGGGAGTCGTGAAGGACCAACACAAGCCAGTCCTTTGCAGCTTTCTTTCATGCCACGACACCATGTCATGCACTGACCACCTCTCCGCTTCTTCCAACCAGTCCCAGAGTCGGCAAATAATGCACGACGTGGAATTCTCTGGGACGACATTCGGAGAACATGTCCAAGCCACCGAAGTCGGTGTTTCAAGATGGTGACACCAATTGAGTTATCATCTCTGTGCCCGAACACACGATGCCGAACCTCTGCATTACTGACATGGTGTTGCCACTGAATGTCAGCAATCCTTCGGAGACAGCGATGATCGAACACAGAGAGTCGTCTAACGTCCTCAACTCGCAGAGGCCAGGTTTCACAAGCATAGAGCAAAACTGCTCTCACCGACGCGTTGTAGATCCGGCCTTTTACAGCCAGACTAACATCACGAAGGCGCCAAAGGTGGCCCAGATTGGCATAAGCCGCTCTGGCTTTCACTATTCGTGCATTGATCTCATCACTCACACCCCCACCAGCACTTATGCAGCTACCCAGATACACGAACTTCTCAACTACGTCTATCTGCTCACCATCCAGGGTGAGTACAGGATTAGAATCCTGCCAGTCTTGTAGAAGTACTTTGCACTTCGAAGGTGCAAAGCACATACCATACCTACGGACATTGATTGCCAACTGATTAAGTGCGGATTGCATGCCTTGGGCATTATCGCACAGTAAGACAATATCGTCCGCATACTCAAGGTCGAGAAGTCTTTCTCCAGGCAACAGATCCACACCACCATTACTTACATTCATCAGAGCTGTTTCCAGAATGTCATCGATGGCAAAGTTGAAGAGGAATGGTGAGATTGGGCAACCCTGCCTAACCCCACTGCTCGAATGGAACAATGGAGAGAGGTGGTTGTATGCCCTCACTCTGCCTGAGGTGTTTTTATACAGGGCTTTTAGGATGTTAATAAACTTCTCAGGCACACCCTTCTTCAATAGACAATCCCAGAGAACAGTCCTATCCAACGAATCGAAGGCAGCCCTGATGTCAAGAAACACTACGATTGTTGGCCTTTGAAAAGTATGGCGGTGTTCTAACATTTGGCGGAGGGTGAAGATATGATCAATACATCCTCGACCAGAACGAAACCCAGCCTGCTCCTCGCGAGTCAATCTTTCTTGGGTTTTGAACAACCTACGAAGAATGACGGAAGCCAATAGCTTGGACGCAATCGGAAGTAAACTTATCCCCCGATAGTTGTTACAAGAACGACGTGAACCCTTTTTAAAGATAGGGACAACTATCGACTCATTCCATGACGTTGGTACACTCTCTAGATCCCAAACCTTTGTAAACAACGTCGTCAATTCCTTAGTCAAAAAGTCACCACCATCTTTAAAAAGAGCCGGAGGTAAGTCATCTGGGCCAGGTGATTTGTAACGCTTCAAGAGTTGGAGTTCCTTGCGGACTTCCTCCTCATTTGGTGGATCAGTCGTCACCGGCCATGGAGGGCAGGACAGTCTGACCGATGTTACCGGAGCAGCAGGCCAGTTGAACTGCCCTTCGAAAAATTCTGCCCATCGTCCAAGACGTCGATGGATGTTAGTGATTGGCATCCCATCATCCTCGCAGATTGTTTCACTCACACCAGACTTCTTGCTGCCAGTGGCTCGGATGAGTTGGAAGAGCTTCCGGTAGTTACCAGATGCAGCTGCTGCTTCCAGCTCATCAGCACGCATCGACCACCAGGCTTCTCGGTCCTTACGCAAGCTTTGCCCGATTTCCTTACGTAAAAACCTTCGTTTATGGTCAAACTCACGGTTACTCGGAGTAGACCGACGGGCTTCAATGAGTTGTAAGGAACCAGAAGAAACCCAGTGCTTAAAAGCGGGACGTTTCGCAAACCCACAACTGACTGTTCCCGCCATTTTCATGGCGTCATGCAATTGCAACCAATGCTCATCTATACTTTTCGGTGGAGTGGTAGCTAGCCTAGAGGCTAGCTCGGTTCGATACTTACTTGCAACAGAAGTTGCAACCAGCTTGCTAACATCAATCCGTTGATGGCGTTCACTTCGTTGTCCACTGAAAAGTAAGGCAAGATTGGCGCAGACCAAGGCATGGTCAGAGTCCAGATAGGTACTCCAAAAGGAGCGGCAGTTTTGTACACAACCACGCCAGCGGTAGCTGATCGCGATGTGATCAATCTGAGTCCAGGCTTGAGATGCAGAGGGAGGACGCCAGGTGGCACATCGGCGATGACTGTGCCGAAAGTTAGTGCTAGCCAGAAACAGGTTGTGGTCTGCGCAAAGTTGCAGTAGACGGTCCACGTTATCTGACCTGCGACCAACGAGTCCCCATCGGCCACCTAAACGACTCTCTTCTGTGCCTAGACGCCCGACCTGAGCATTCAAGTCTCCGGCTAGTACTACAATATCTGTCGAACGCACTTTCTGGAGAAGAACTGATAACTGGTGGTAAAACTCATCCTTGATTGCATCCGGGCTGCAATCTGTCGGGGCATAGGCGGAGATGACGAAAAGACATCGTTTCTCACGCCGATTTCTTCTCACTTTGATGGAACTTTCTAATCTAACAGCACATAACCGACTGTTAATGGGGATCCAATATATTGGTGCTGCCTCAGCTCTAGCGCTTAGTGCGACACCAACGCTAGCAAAACCAGACGAAGATGCCACAGGGTCCCCGGATAAGCGCACGTAAAACAAGCTCTTCGAAGCGACAGATGGAGATCGAATTTGTAGTACTTCGCCAGAGTCTTGAATACGGGTCTCGGATAGACAACACACGTCGATATTAAGACTTTCCAAAGACATAGCCAGCCCTATCTGTTGTCCGACCTGCATAAATGTGCGAACGTTGAACGCAGCCAGTTTGAATGATGCACGTGGTTTCAGAAAATCTGCTTCAGTCCTCATATTCGGTGGTAACATACAATTTTCAACCGGACAGTGACTCGAGAACGTTTAGATACAGTCGGAATTCCACCAAAGACGAGCCGCTGTATAAGTATAAAAGAAGGTGAATAATGTGGAAAATAATAATAATAATGATGATAATAACAATAATGACAATAATAGTAGTAATAATAATATTAGTATTAATAATGACAATAATTGAAGTGATCATAATTTGAATCAATTGATTGTTTTTCAAAGCGACAAAAGTAGTTTCCATAGACATAAACAGTTCATCATTTGTGTGTGGGCTGTGATACTGCCCGGGTGCCCAAACCGAAGCAGGTGGTTATCTTAGGGGGCCACTCCCCGAGCCTTTGACCTAAAGGTCTAACCCACAAGGCAGTGGAGCATCGTAAGGAGATGCAGTCCCATGGTAGCCGGTGACCAACGATTGATTCATACGCCATTCGTTCCCGCAGGATACTGGAGCCCATGTGCACCATTGGTTTGGAATCCGGTTAAAGCGCCGGACATTCGCTTCTCGTCCTCTCATTTTCGTAAACAACACCCCCGCCACGAGATGGCAATGAGTAGGACTTCCCTGGCAGAGGCTATATACGCGTGGCCGTGTGAGAGTATTTCGAGAGGGAGAGCGGACTCTCCCCACTCTCGGCCGTACCAGGGCATTCAGGGGGCCAGTATCGCATGGCGGATTGAAAAGTCTTCTGCTGTTATATTACAAAGATATCTGAAACCTATTTCGGAAAACTGAACCGACATTTTCCGCATGCCCACTAAACATTAACTTCTTGAGAACAGCACAAACTTTAGCAGAAACATCTTGTCGAGCCAATTTGAATTCAAGTAGTATTTCTCACGTCTGACTAAGAGCAACTATTGATTTCTGAAGACTACTGGTTACAAAGAATAATGAATTTATGTGATCGAAAAGCGTAAACGAAGTAAACGAAATGTCATTTTCTAGTGGGAATCTTATGGGAAGTTAAAAAGCAAAGGAACATAACCTTGGTAGAATTCGCAAGAATCAGAAACGTCCCACCAACTAAAACAAAGAAATGAGACCCTTTAAGACGATCCCAAATTGGCGACCTCAATTATACCACTGAAGGTATAGGTGTTAAGATTAGAATCAGATCTTTAGTCTCAACCTTTTAGTTATCACAAACCTTCAGTTGACAACTTTCACCTTAATTGCCTGAATTGTTAACATTCAATTGTCTTATATTAAGAAATTCAGTTTCTGACTTGTATATAGCTCAAAGATAAACCGTTGAGCAATTATCTTAAATTAAGTTTTACCGAACGTTCTTTACCGAGTTACATGCCGATTTGCATTGATAAATAGCAAAACAGGAGTCGTCACATCGGTTAGCGAACAATGGAAAACTTAGCTGTACCATATTTTACGCGCTTCCACCTACAGTAAGTGACTGAACAAAATCAGAATTGACTAAACTGGTATTTTAAATGCATTTTTAATCACCGAACTGGAGTTTAGAAGTTGTTAAGAGCTATGTTTGATTTTGTTGATCACTCAAATACTGTCCTTTTTTATTCTTTCAGTACAATTTAATTGCTATCGCTGATAAATATCAACAAATGAAATGGAATATAACTATCACGTATCCTGCCAAATAGCTAAATTTGTATCTACGATAAATAAATGTAGGGTAAACGTGATTTTAGTCTATATGCGGGATCATATAGAAGTTCACATGAAATCGTACCTTAAATGTAGTGCAGGTAAGGGTCCAATTGACTTATCTCCACAAATCCATATACTGAGATCAACAGCAACAGAATCGCAGCCAATTTTGGATAAGGGGCGGTATTCTTGGACAGATGAGAGTATTCCCCATAATCCATGGACTCCCATTCTGAAACTAGAGATCGAGTAACGTACGAACCCCCAGCCCTTTCTGTTTTTCGAACTCAAAAGACCTCTATGTGCTATAACATGAGAGGAAGGTAGGCCATACCTAGTTGTGAAATAAAATTAAACCCAAATCAAGATAAAAGCAAAAATGATGGATTGGTAAACTCCTAATCAAAACGAAAGATCCCATACAAGTTGTGTTACTATTTCAACTACTAAGGCACTGGCGGTAATAAACATATACTATGTAGCATGATCCACAACAGTAACCGGGCTTTACGTTTCATATCAAAGAGGTACAATAACTCCAAACATCACTGATATGTTCATTACGACGATGGATACTCAGAAACTGATATAACTCATATAGTAGGTAAGTTTCGTAGGAAATTGTGTAAACATTTTCAGAATATAGCTAACAAGTGGGAGTTAAATGTCACAAGGAACATCTATACGGTTTGTCATGGAGGTATAACTCATTTCCCTTATTCGGCTGTATTACCTCAGAAAGTGAAATGGTATTTTTTAAAGCACATACCGTTTTTCCTAACTAAGTCCATTGGAAAAAAATTTAGTTCCTTGATAACGTGAGTAAATACGAATAGTGGTGATATTCAAGCTAATAGCAGATAATACCGCGTAACTTACTTGGTGTAAATGAAAGCAAAAACAGAATTTTTGACGCAGATCTAAGTGGTGCTTTTGAAATGAGTAAGACTATATTTTATGGATGACCTTTGAACAATACTAAAATGACCTTCACGTGTCCACCTACCCAACCCCCAAACATCTGAGTTTGGGGAAATTCGAAGTCTTCCTCAACATTTCCCCAAAATCTTATAATCCTTCGAGTTTTTTCTCCCAACTCTGGGTAAGACTTCGATATTTTCTGAGAATTTGGGGAAAACCCAAAAATTTACTCAAAGTTCCCCAAAATTGGGTGATTGCAATCTCCCATGCAATCTACCCATGTGTACTTACTAGGTTTAGTACATGAGGGTTATCTATTAGTGTGAAAAATTAGGATTAACACTTGAATGTTGGGGTTAAGAATTGGACTTAATAATACCATCAAGAAACATCAGCTATAAGGCCAAAATGGTATTTAGCCAAATGAGTGAATGCATTTCGCGCCGAAATCCAAGATCTGATCTCTTAAATGTGGTTGTGTCGTCCATGAAATATAGTCTAGCGCACAAATCTTACTTGTATTGTTATCTATTCACTGATTTATGGAGATAAGTGGAAAATGGGCATATTCTTTCAGGACGACAACTAGCATCACAAATATGATGTGAAGTAACGCAACAAACGAAATATGCGCTTTCAGTCTTCAATATGAAGGGTCCAAACGCGTCAAGTGGTTATGGACGATAGACGAAGATTTTGCTTAACGGGCTTCCTTATCTAGTGGTAGTGGATCACTGATGCTTCTAGGTGGAAACTTAGGTATATTAACCATAAAAGAGAAAAATGAAAAAAAGATAAATCATAGTAAGATACTATCCTTAATCCTTAAGAATATATCAAAATTTCTGTTGAAGAAATCCTGGGAATTCACTCGGACTAACTCATCGGGCAGCGAATTGCATTATTTAAATACTCTTGAGAAGCAGAAGGTGTGTCTATAATCCGTCCTTTCGTGTTGTATCTGCAGTTCTGGGTGTTACCCCTAAGGTTTGTATTGAAAGTAAGCTTAAGTAGATGTTTGAGATGTCCGGGAGTCTTTATGATAATGAAGGCCGTTGGAGCGTTACCTCCAAGGAGTTAGTATTCTAATGGGTAGAGGTTCATTGATTGGGGTCGCTCTTCGTAAGACTTGAATTTGAGTTCCAAGACTGATTTCGTGGCTCACAGTTGGACACGTTCCAGAGTGTTCTTAACTTTGTAAAGAGAGTGAAAAAACACTGTATCTCGCATTTTAAATGGGGACGAATGAAACTGTTGAGAACTATGTGGAAATTTCTTCGGCCAAGCAGACCAAAAATGCGATTCGATGTTCACAGTGCAAGGTTCCGTAAACTAACTCGGCTGGACAATATCCCATGTCTTGGTTAATTGTTGCTCTTAGAGCTAACGTTACTAGGGGAAGTTTATTAAACCAATCGTTGTTAACGATGACGGCTGTAAGGGACGCTTTTAATTGTCTATGTAGGCATTCGACCATTCCGTTTGCCATTGGATGGTTCGATGTCGTTCGGATTCGTTTAATACCGAGGAGTTCTGTAAGCTGCTGAAAGAGTCGACTTTCGAATCGTGCTCCTCTATCAGTTGTGATAATAGTTGGTACACCGTAGTAAGAAATCCAATTTTCGACTAGGGTTTTAGCTACCGTTTCAGCTGAGGTGTCTTTTATCGGTACTGCTACCGGCCATCGTGTAAACCTATCGATGCATGTAAAGATATAGTTGTATCCATTTGAAACGGGCAGTGTTCCTACAATATCGATGTGTATATGTTCAAATCTAGTGTCTGGGTGCGAAAACGGACCTACTGCAGAGCTAGTATGACGATGTACCTTAACTTTTTGGCACTTCATGCATGCTTGTGTCCAATTACGTACATCGTGATTCATGTTTGTCCATACGAATCGTTCACTAATTAGCTTTATCGTGGCTTTTATTCCTGGGTGCGACATGTTGTGCATGCTTTCGAATATTTTGTGTTGCAACGTTTTCGGGATAAATGGTCGCGGTCGGCCTGTTGATGTATCGCAAACTACTTTCGTGTTACCAAACCGCACCTCTTCGAGTACTAATGATGTTGAACCACCTGATCTGAGTTTATTTAACTCGATGTCTCTCTCCTGTAACTTTGCTAGACCGTTATAATCAATTCCACTTGCCATAAGTGTACTTATCGTTGCTCGTGACAATGCGTCGGCCACATCGTTTTCTTGTCCTTTAACGTACTGTATGTCGGACGTGAACTATGAAATGAACTCTAGTTGTCGGATCTCTCTCGGGGAATAATTGTCTTGCTTTGTGCTTAATGCTTTCGTTAGTGGTTTATGGTCTGTATAGACGGTATAATTTATGCCTTCGACCATATGACGGAAGTGTTTTATTGCTAAGTAGATTGCCAATAATTCTCTTCCAAACGTACTATATCTCGTTTGGGTAGGATTTAATTTTTTCGAAAAAAATGAAAGTGGCTCCCATGCACCGTTTACTAACTGCTGCAAAACGGCTCCTACTGCTACGTTCGATGCGTCTGTCATGACGGCTAATGGTGCTTCGTTCTTTCGTCGTACTAACATCATCTCGTTTAGCGCTCGCTTAGCGTTCTCAAAAGCCTGTATAGCATCCGCTGAAAGACGGAATGTTCGAGTATGTCCTCGCAAGGCGTCCGTCAATGGCTGTAATATTGCTGCGCAGTTTGGGATAAATCGTCTATATTAGTTTATTAGCCCCAAGAATCTTCGTAATTTTCTTTGTGAATCGGGTAACGGATAATTACGAATAGCAGCAACTTCTGTCGGAACTGGCATGATACCATGTGAATTTATCATATGACCTAGGAATTGCAATGATTCCTTTCCAAATTCACACTTTTCCACGTTAATAGTGACGCCATGTTCTTGAAGTTTCGTAAACAACTGTCGTAGATGTTGTAGATGTTCTTCCCTGGTAGAGCTAGCTACTAGTATATCATCGATATGTGCGTGAAATCCTGTCAAACCCCTAACAACCTGATCGATGAATCTTTGGAAGGTTTGGGCTGCATTAGTTAATCTGAAGGGCATTCGCAAAAACTCGAATTACCCAAATGGAGTAGTTATAGCCGTTTTAGATATATCTTCTGCCGCTACAGGAATATGGTAATAAGCTCGAACGAGATCGATTTTCGACAATATCGTGGCACCTTCCATATTGGTAGTAATGTCGTGGATATGTGGTATCGGATATCTATCTGCTATCGTTTGCTTGTTAAGAGCTCTATAGTCTCCGCATGGCCTGATTTCTCCATTCTTCTTCGAAACCATATGCAATGGGGACGCCCAGGGACTATTAGAAGGTCTTATGATACCAAGCTTAGTCAACTTTTCGAACTCTCGTTTCGCGACATTCAAACTTTTCGGGTCCAGCCTTCGTGGTCTTGATTTAGTCGGTGGACCTTTCGTTATAATATGGTGCTGTACCGTATGTTTAAGATCTCTGTTATCGTATGATACCTTCGTCAGATCGGCATACTCGTTTAGAAGCGATCTATATGGCTCGCTTTTGTCTTTTGACACAACTAAATTCATGGATGCGTGATCAGTCGTCATCCTCTTATCACTATTGAATGGTCGCCGTTCACGAGCCGGTTTCGTCGGGTATCCACTAGTAAGTCGAAATTCTTTAAAAAATCAATACCAATTATAGGTACGGATACATCTGCGATAATGAATTCCCAGCGGAATGAGGTAGTACGACCAAAATTCAAGGTTACTTTTCGCTTGCCATATGTTTTTATATCGGATTTATTTGCTGCCTTAAGCGTTAGCGTTGTATGGATATTTCGTGTTTTGTTACTTACTGGAGGCACGACGCTTACTTCTGCTCCCGTATCCACCAAGAATTGAGCGCCTATTACTCTATCCTGAACGTAAAATAAACGACTGTTTCTAGGAGCTGTTGTAGTTGTTGCGGCGGTTATCGACAATCGGTGTGGTCGTTTGAATTTACATGGTGGTCTACAGTTTCGAGCTTTATCGCCGAAAGTTTGATAGTACCAACATATTGTAGGAGCTGCGCGTCTCCTAGAACGTGATCGACTTCTTTCCCTCGATCTACTTCGTGACCATCCTCTTTGCGTATCGCTCTGATTTAGTTTCGTCAGTTTGTGGCATAAAACATTAATCTCCTTTCGTAATGCCTTTGCAGACTCGTTTGTTTCATTCTCTCATAAATCCTATTGGCCATTTTAGCAATGTTGTCTATATCGACATCGCTGTCCTCAACCGCAAGGATCTGCTGCACGTTCGCTGGAAGTCGTCGCAACCACAACTGATAAAATATGTTTTTATCCACTTTTCTGTCATCGATTACGCTTTTCATATAATTTTTTAACTGCGATGGAGTCCTATCTCCTATCTGCACTTGACTGAGAAGTTGTTCGATGGCTTGCCGGTCGCTTAATGAGACGGCTTTAATCACTGAATGTTTTAATGCGTCGTACAGCTTTTCTATGTCTGGCTTGATTAAAATCTCTCGTACATTATCTGCTACTTCATCTGGAAGTAGCGAGCTCGCGTGACCAAATTTATCTCGCTGTGTATGAACACGATTAGCTACAAAGTAAAGTTCAAGTCTGATAAACCAAAGTTGAGGATCTGTGACCTTAAAAGGAGGAATAGTTACATTAATGGACCTAACGGACGGCGTTTGGGAAAGTTCTACTGTATCGTTACTTAAAGACATATTTATAAAGATCAAAAAGTACACGAATATAATGAGAATGTCACAGAGAAAAGTGAGTCGATAAAAACAATGATAAAAACAAATGGTACAATTTATAACAAAGAACGGACCTACTAAATTGCACCAAAATATCAATTGATTGTAAAATATCGTTGTTTATTATGAATATTATCGTTATGTTCTATAATGTTTGTGAGATAATGTACGTATAATTAAAATAATGAGATAATAAATCCACAGTTATAATTATAATCCAAATGATAGTTACAATTGTAATCGAGTACGTTGGATTTTAGGAATTGGATTACGTCGTTCAAGATTGTTTCGTGTTCGCGCGTCGGGATCGCCAATTATGTGGTGGTCGGTATTCGATATAATCCTTAAACTTCGTATACAATTCGTCTTGATAACCGTCCTATTTAACCCCAACGGTATATTATTCAGAAGGCGAATACGAAGTGTCGATTACGTTTATTGCGAAACCACACACATATATCCAAATGTACAGATGTGTTAAACGAGCATTAAGAGTTGTGCCGAACGGCAAACAGGCAAGCGAGCGACTGAGCGAAATGTAAGTAATCGAGTAAAATCAAGCGAGCGAGAAAGCAGAGTCAGCCATATGAATAACATGGACATATATATAGCATGTGAAATTAATGAGTAATCGAATCAAATAAGCGGTTAGTAGTGAGACTAGCAGAGTGAATAAATGCGTAGGCCGTAAGCAATATTCAAGCATGCGTATTTTATACAAGCACAAAATAATAATAAGGGTACAATAAATTGTTATAGTGCGGATGGCTTTGTCCGCTAGATAAGTTAGCAAAAGGGCTTAACTGAGTTAAATGAGAATAAACCCATTTGCACGTGAGTCGCTATAACCGTAGTATAAGGTGTAATACTGCTTTGAATTTTTGTCGGAGTATT